TCAACAAGACCTGTACTGTACCGCAAAATCAGTTCCACTGAGAAAATTTTTATTATCTCTTGTGGCTTCTCAGAAAACTCACCTAATTTGGTCATCGGAAACTCAGATTTCTTGAGTTGGGATGGATGTTTTGTCTTCTGAAGAACTTTGATGAAGGTAAAGATTAATTATTTCCCCAGGTAATGGGGAAACAAAGAGTCCCAAAGAAGCATGTTCCTTTGTCACCTGAGTACTTTGTGAGTACTACAAGGTCTTGGCATGAGTTCTCCTGTTATAGTTTGAAGCCTGATTAGTAACTTGGGGAAAAGAACATTAGGAAAGCAATCTTCCATTTATAAGTTACTAATTTATATTGTAACTTTGAACTCAGGTAACAATAAATACAAGTCTTAGAGAACCATGGAAAAAAAAAAAACCCACAATGAAATCAGGTTATTTGAAGGAAACTGAATGAAACTCAGGGAGCTCATCAGCCTTGAGTCAATTTCCTGGGTCTTGTACGCCTCCTTCCTGAGCTGTCCTGGAACTCACTCTGTAGACCAGGCTGGCATTAAACTCAGAGATCGGCCTGCCTCTGCCTCCTCAGTGCTGGGATAAAAAACATTAGGAGGGAATGTTTCAATCTGCAGGACACGGCTACACAAACAAAACAAAAAACCAGTCCTTTTTACAGTGGGGGCCTGCTGCGAGGGGCCGTCATGCCCAGACTGTTGGTTCCTGGCAGACCTGTTGGTGATAGCACCAGCTGCGCAGTTCACCCACAACACTCTCAATGCGCAGTGTAGTGTTTCCAAGCAATAAAGGCAGCATCACAACAGCAGCAAGCCTGCCTCTCACAGTCCCATGACTGCCATGTACCTTACCCCTCTGAGTACTCAAAATTGCTAAATGTGAGTTTGGGCACGGAAATATATTTCTGTGTTAAGAGTTTAAAGCTAGGCCGGGCCATTATGGTCAAAGTGGCACACACCTTTAATCCTAGCACTCAGGAGGCAGAGGCAGGGACCTCTGTGAGTCTGAGGTCAGCCCAGTCTATCCTATACAAACAAGGCTATACAGTCAGACCTTGTCTGAGATCTTTATATCTATGTATCTATGTATTTATCTCTATCCATATCTTTATCTACACACACACACACACACACACACACACACACACACACACATAGATAGATAGAGAGGAGAGAGAGAGAGAGAGAGAGAGAGAGAGAGAGAGAGAGAGAGAGAGAGAAAGTATATTTCACATGCAGTGTTAATGGGAGACCCCAGCTGCCTGTCAGATAAAATCTCAGTTGATATACCGGAGGGAACCTCTTGATTCTGAGTCTAGGCCAATGTAGGGAGTCTAAGCTATGTGTTAGCAATTAATTTAATCTCTCTCTTTCTGTGTGTGTGTATAAAGTATATATCTGATAATTCATAAACTAGAGATAGTGATAACTTACTAAAACAAAAGTTTTTTCTTTCTTTCCTTTTTTTTTTTTCCAAGACGGGTTTTTCTGTGTAGCCTTAGTTGTCCTGGAATTCACTCTGTAGACCAGGCTGGCATTAAACTCAGAGATCCGCCTGCCTCTGCCTCCTCAGTGCTAGGATAAAAAGTGTGCACCACCACGTCCTGCTAAAACAGAGCAGTTATATCAGTTTACTACAATGCAGGTTCTATGAGTGTAGTAGCTCAGAATACCCTGCTCTGTACGATATTTGGGGTTGCTGCTATCTTTGGAGAGAATGGTAACTTAAACCACAGAAAGTAAAAATCACAGATTAATCGTCTTCAGTACTTGCTCTGTCCAAAATCACGTTTGCTGCCCAGGTAAGTCTTTATTAAATGTCTGTACCAGATAACATGAATTGGTCACTGGCCTACTGCCTTGTGATGGTAGGAAAGAGCATGGTGGTCCCATGGGATGATTTATCCAAGCTATGGGAAAGCCTGGGTTGCCCTGCTTCTCAGGAGAGGAGAACCCCTCTGGGTCTGATGAAATAGAGTTCTCAGTAAGGAGCTTTGATGTTCTTCTTTTGCTAATCAACATTAAGGTAGTATTGTAGTGGTATTTTTTTTTCTTAGCATCTAGTAAAATAAAGATGCATCTTACAAAGGATTAAGTCTTCCATGACATTAAATATGATGATTGTCCCTATATTATTCTCCATCCAGATTTCAACCTGTCCCAGTCACCTCCCTCTGTACTGCAATGGCAGCACATGACAGTGGTGTGAGGTCATAGCCAGGACAGAGGATCCACTCAAACTTACTCTTGGCAGTGAGCTCACATGCCTCTCAAGGGAGCTTCCTTCCGAAAGCTCCACCATTATTCACTCACTTGGCTCCTGTTCCTTTCTCAAGGGCCCTGACTTAAAGTCAGCTCCAACCAGAGGAGACAGCCTACTGAGCGAGCGCTCAAGGACATCTGACAGCCAACATCCCAATTTTAACGCAGCCCACACTGGCCCAAACTCAGCTTATCATTGCGCCTCTCACTTTGACCAGGTGCCAAATAGTCGTTAATGGAGACTTACAGTGGAGATGGCAACTGTCTGCAACACAGTTTGAGACATATCTAGTCTCTTTAGTTTTACCTCTAAAGGATTTAGGGCATAAAATTGTCCCGGCTGGGGCTTCACTGTTTCCTTTCCCAACGTTTTCCTTCAGATCTTCAGTGAGGGATAAAGCGTTACATAAAACAAGTTTACATAACAGCCCCGTACCACATAATCACATATTATGGTTGGTGATAAAGAAAAAATAAGCACTTCACATAGCATGACTCTCTCAAAAGAATTTAAATTACAAACCTAAGCTGAAACCTCTTGGCTTTTACTGGAGTGACAGAACTGATAATGTCCAACTGGGATATATAAATTACCACGTTCAGAGCCACCACTTGACTCTTAATCAAACCCTCCTGCTACTTAATCTAAGGTGCAATCATTCTTGATAATTGGCAGGTGACATTTTCATAGGCTGTCACAGTATATTTATACACATATGTGTTTAAGCGGTGCCCTCTGTCCTGTTGACTGAAGAAGTGAAGAATCATTCTACCTTTTGAAATGTTCAGCTTTTAGAAAGCTGAAAACTTTGGCTGCTCCAGTTGCACTCCTCGGGGGTGGCTTGGGGAGAGGGAAGACACTGTTTCAATAGCCTGGCTGGGGTCTGCTTTGGAGTGTGCTAAATGGGTGGCAAGTTCTTCCCACTTTATAGATTCTGTCTGTTGTTATCCAGATTTTGTTTATAAAACATCAGAAGCTTGGGGATGTTAGATAAATGAGCCCAGTATTCAAAAGTGAGTTTTAGAGCCTGTATTTCTAATGTTTACCCTCGAGTCCACGAACTTTCTCCACGCAAAACCACCAATGAACTCCACATCTGATGAAAGAAGACTGGTTTCAATATGACAAACTCTGACTGTGTCCGACCTCTTACTGTAGGTGAGATTGTGATGTGAAACGGACAGCTGTATAAGCCAGGACACTCGAATCAAACTCGGGTGGCTGACAAGGAACGTTATGCTTCACACTGGTTCCTTAGGGCCCTGGATGCTGAAAACTGAATCTCCTTGACAGGGTGTTGCAAAGTTCCAATAAAGATGTTTTGTTTGGTCCGTGTTTCTGGGGATGGCGTAACTATGCAGCCTGACCAACAAATGCCACACAGCCCTGACCGATGACTCATGGGCTCAACTGTGAGATCTTGCATCAGTTTCAAAATATCATTTATAATTACCTGAGCCAAACAGTCAAGGGCTTATCACAACTCATTATACTATCTTGGCTATGTTCTAATTTTATCTTTATTTTTTTTAAAGAAAATGAATGTGTATGGTGAAGAAAAAGACAATGTATTGTAGGTATCTACATTAAAAATACTTTTATATAATAAAAGTTTCCTAAGTTAATGTTGAAGTGTTTCGAAGTTAGATTTTCTTTTAAACATAGGATCTCTAGCCAGGCTGACCTCAAACCCCCTATGTAGGAAGGATGACCTTGAACTTCTGATCCTCTTGCCCCTAGAGTGCTGAATTATGGGCATGTACCATAATACCCAGTTTATATGGTGTCAGGGCTTGAACTCATGAACTTGTGCATGCTAAGCACTCTGCCACTGAACTATATGCCCAGGCCTAGAAGTTAGTGTGAAAATAAAAAAAATAAAAATCTCAGTAGAGTAAACGTAACCCTGTCCCCCAAGGAAAACAAACTCTTAAAGACTATTTTGTTATTGTTACAATTTTATATCCTTCCCTCCCTCTTTTTTTTTTTCTTGCCTTTTCCCCTTGTCTTTTTGAGACAGGGACTAAGATACAGTTTAACGGGACTCTGAACTTTGTATCTTCTTGCCTTCTGCCTGTATCCAGAATGTTGGGATCATGATCCTGGGCTACCACACACTACTGTCTTTGTGTGTAAACATAAAATAGTAATGGGGCTGGGGAGAAGGCTCGGCTTGTTAGGAGCACTTGTTGCTTTTGCAGAGAGCCAGGGGTTTGGTCCCCAGTAGCCAAAAGGCAAATCACGATGGTCTGAAACTCCAGCTCCGGGGGATCCATCGCCCTCTCCTGGTCTCCCAGGGCATTGTCACACACACACACATTTTTTAAATTTAAAGATAGTGGTAATGCTCCAGTGAATTTCTTTCTTTGTTTTATACTCTTAACAGCAAGCTAATTAGAAGAGAGAGAAGGGGGAAAACCCAGTGTCTTCTGTGGACATAGTAAAATGAAGACGAAGAACACTTAGTTCTAAACCAAAGTGATGACACCCTGAGCTTAGGTGTCCCATGTCAGCTGTCGTTACTGAGAGTGTCACCACTAAAAATAGTTTCTCTTAATCATGGTAGATGGTGAATTGAATTCCACACTACATGCTATAGTGTAAAATGCCATGTCTTTTACATTCTGACCTTTCTATTAAATAAGGATGTAGGCCCATTTAATCTCCACAAAGAAAATCTTTACTCAGCAGCACTCCTAGTGTGTGTGGTCAGGTGAAGGTGTCAGTATTTTATCAGACCACCTGCTCTCTTGTGATACTGCTGACAGCCAGGCCTCTTTATGTCGGGAGCATAGCCAATAGATAGGGTCATCAGCAGGCCAAGCAAAAGAGAGCCAAGCAAGCTTCAGGTCTGACAGCCATGTGGGAGGGGCGTTGACGTAGGAAATTTGAAGGAGCCAGAGCTCAGAGCCTTGAAGGTGAAGGAAGCAGAGAGGTCCGGAGGCGTGTGGGCCGTAGCAATTATTTACAGGGTGCAGCTTTGCTTGGAGACATTTTAGGAGCGGGTTGGGTTGTGGGCGTCCGGGGAAGAAGGTGCATTGTCGCAAGGTGTATGTTTGGTGGGGCAGGTGGCGTGGCAGGGCAGAGGGGCACCTCCAGAGCCCGCTCGGCACCTCACCCACCCCATCCCCTTCCGTTCTCCGCCCCGCCCCCGTCCCCACCCACCCTTCTCAGGTTTCTCTGGGAGTCGCCATGGCAACGGACGCTGGCTTTGGAACTCAAGATTCTCAGAGCTTGGAGCCAGTAGTTAGGTGGTGGCCGCAGGCACAGCCCAGCGGGCATGGCCGAGGCTGAGCCTGAGGAAACGGAGGACCCAAGGTTGAAGACCCAAGGATGCCGGAAGATTCTCGAGACCCTCGAAGTGGCTATTGAACAATTCCAATACAACCCCAGGTGACCTGCCCACTGCGCCCACGTCCCCCGGAGCAGGCCCGCAGCCTCGTGGCCTTTGATTTCCTAAGTAAATCATAGACTAAAAGCTCGGACTCAGGTCTGGATGCCAGTCCTGCTCAGCTTCTCACCAGGCCCTGACTTAGCCCGTTTACTTCTCTATGTCTCTATTATACCTGAGCTGGGAAACAGGACAGTGGCCAATTGTGCCCACTCGTCACAGACAATAGGGCGTGTTAAATGTGTTCACCTAGGTACAGTCTAGCAGAGAGCCATACAGAAATGTTACGAGGCTGCGTTCAGAAAATACCAGAGACTCCAGCTTTTAAACACAGGTTTCTTTGGGGATTCTGGAAGCTGGAAGTCCAAGAACTGAGCATTGATTTGGTATCTGGTGGTGGGACCAGCAGGGGTCTGTCCCCCAACTTCCCACAAGCCTGGCTTTTAATAAAGATACAGTCCTATTACCGAGGTTCCCACATCATGACCCATCCTCTCTCTTGACCCCGCCTCTGGAAGCTATCACTTTGGAAAGTAGGACATTGACATGGGTTTTCTTAGAACTGGAGCACCCCCCAAAACACGGAGACAACGAGCCATAGGCCTTTGCTAATGGAGTCATTATTTCAGGGTCCCTGGGTTTCATTCCTTCCTCTTGGGATCCTTTGACCTCAGCCCTACTGTTGTTACTTGGATAATGTAGAGTTGACGTTTCTGGGGGCAAGTTTTTTTTTTTTTAAACACTTTTTTAAAGTAGTAAGCACATAGCCCTGGGTTAACTACTACAAGATGCAATTCCATGTAGAGGCCTCAGGGAGACAGGCAATTGGTTCCAGGCAAGGCCAACACCCAGATTGCTCCAGGTTGTGGTGGGGGCAGTGGGAAAGGATTGACTATAGCTGGACCAGCCCAATAATAGGCCTGACCCAGTGACACAGTCCTCCTGGGCTCAGCCTCCCTAGTGCAACTGTATTAAATAATAGGTATGTTGGTCAAACCGAGTCAGGGTACACAGAGACCCTGATAAAGCTGCCAAAAGCACATATCACAGGCAGCTCTTGGCAGACACCAGTGGAATGCTGTGTCTAATCTGTTCCTAAGAGTCCCTTTCTCTTCCGGATTCCTTGACATTCCACAATAGAATAAATCCCCAACAAAACATTCCGGCCAGATTCAAGGGACTGGCTGACCTCTGCCAAGCACAGTACTAACATGCATTGATTGAACCAAGGAACTGCTAATGCCTGTAACAATTTGTCTTCACCCAAAGGCTCAGGGAACTGGGTTGGAGCTCTGAAATGAGTGGGAGGGAGAGGCTGAACAGTGTCTGACACCCAGGGATCTGAGCACAGCCGGGTTAGGCCCCAGGAAGCCGGCAGTTCACATAAAGACAGCTCAGCCTTGGGGAAGTAGACATTCTAATTAGGAACCAACGCCAAACTAGTTAATCGGTAACCACATAATAAGTCAGACAGCATTTATACGTGAAAGAAGAAAGAGAAGCGAAGGGTAGCAGAGGAAATTGAGTGTGCATGTTACACGCCCCCTCCCCCAAGTCACCAAGTGGAAAGGGGGAATTGTGATTTTAGATATGACTGTCAGGAAAGGCCTCACTGTGAGGACACTAAGAAGAAAACTGCAGGATAAGCCAGGCTGACATACGGAGAGACAAAATCCTGAGTGGAAGGACAAGGACTGCAAAGCACGGAGTCTGGTCTAGACTAGCCAGGAGGCCAGCGGGACTCTAACATAGAGAAATGGGGTGAGGCCCAAGAGAGATGGCCACATCCAAGGGGTCTTAGATCACCATAAAGACTTCAGCTTCTCTTTCAAAAGAGATGGGAAGCCAAGAGGGTATTGACACAGAGTCCTGTGTCTGACTTACCTATCTATGGGATTGTTCTGCTGTTTTGATACTGGACTCTAACAGGGACAAGGACACAAGTGGGGAAACCAGTTAGGGGACTTTTAGAATATCTGTCAAGGAGGATGGCCACGGGGACTGGGTAAAGCACTTGCTATGAGGGCCTGAGTTTGTATCTCCAGCCATGTAAGCCAATCTGTAAGCCCAGCACAGGGGGAGGGGAGCAGGTGAGTCCCAGGTGCTCACTACCAGCCAGTCTAGCTGATGCAGCTAGAAGCCTGAATTCCACAAGTGGTCCCATCCCCCCAAAATAAGGAGGAAGACACTCAATGCTGACTTCCACGTGCACACACTTGCAGACAAGTGCACAGGTGCCACTGTTCCCGTGTTCACACACAAGCAGATACCACTGCCTGTGGAAGTGGTGGTCGGCGAGGAGGATGGTTATGGGGGACCAGGAGGCAGTCCTTGGAGAAGCTGAAGATGTGATCAGAGTCTTCCTACTGGTTAAAAAAAGGGATTGGTCGAGTTTACTGAGGGACTGCCCACACATAGGACAGGTGTTTCTGAGGTTTCTGACCTGAGGAGTTGGAAAAAATGAGGTTGCCATTAACTTTGTTGGGAAAGGGCATGTGGGGCACAGGATGGGGGTAATGTGATAAGCTCACCTTGGGAAACAATGTCAGCAAGGACTGTTAAACATCTATTTAAGCAGTTCAGTAGTAAGGTCTGAAGGTGGGAAGAGGGGTCCAGCTTGGTATATCAACTTGGAAATAATTTGTAAAAGGATGCTGTGTTAAGTAAACTATGAGGTTTCATGATATCAACCAGGAAGTGTGTATGTATGTATATGTATATATTATATATATATATAATATATATACATATATGTGTATAATTATATATATATATATAATTACTTTGAAACAGAAAACAATAAAAGGATATTTTCCTTAACTAACATTGAGCCATTCACCACAGTGCAAATTTAGCACCTCTAATGTCATCTTCATTGAGTAATTCATTAGCCAGCATTTGTTAGGACGGACTATTCTAGGGCTCAGTGGGATGTGTTGCTGCAGTCTATTAATAAATATTCATGGATCTGTTTTGTATAAGTTAGCATATTAATTTTGTGTCTAATTTATTAAACATAATTGTTATCTCCCAAAACCATGCTTTATGCATAACGAGCAACCTATTATTTGGGAGGATTGCACAGACTATAAATAAGGACTGTGTAGGAACCACTTCGCTAAGGTCTTGGGATGTGGGCTTCCGTTCCAGGCAGAGCAGTTAGCATCTAAAATTAGAGCTACTTCAAACTTGAAGAAAAGCTGAAGAATGAACCTTCATATTTTATTTAGATTCTGGGTGAGCCAGATCTTTCTAAATCAATCACACAGGAAGTTAAGGCTGGGGTGGGGGGACTTTACAATCCCAGATCTGTCCCCCACCCCTGGCTTGCAATTTTAGATGAGTTATTTACCTTTGTTGACTTCAGTTTCCACATCTTTGAAACAAGATGTTGGAAAATGACTGGAAGAAGAAAAAGTGTAGATTGAAGCATATATCTTAACAAAGCCTCTGCGGCAAGTTACTCTATAAATAGGTGTATTGTTTTTAAACACTTCGGAGGGTTTATTTTTAAATTATATATTGTATCATTGTCCTGATATAGTAACAGAAGGAATAACCAAACATACTATGATGTTTCTAAATAATAACCTGAAAAAATATATTGATAATAAAAATTATTCACACACAAAATTGTCCACATTCTATAAACCTACTGCTTAAATAAGTGTTGTGGGGTTTTGGGGTTTTTTTTGCCTAAAATAGGAAGGAATAAAAGAACATAAATGTTCAAGCCTAATGGAAAATGAAGTTGAATAGAGAAAAAAAAAGCCACTTAGCACTGGGGGAGGGTAAAGAATTACAGCTCTGGACTGGGAATAAACAGAGGTCTAAACATACAGTGTGCAGACTACAGAGAAACAGGGTGTGTTAAGATGATGGGTTCTATCTGTTATGTTGGTATAGCACCCAAGGTTTAGACAATTTAGAATGGCCCCAAATGCCGAAGACTGCAATAAATACCGGTTTGGAGACAGCATGGGCGACACTAAAAGGTCCAGGCTGCTAGTGGCAGAGTCTTGGCAGAGGTTGCAGGCAGCACTGGTCTGCAGGGACAGCTTGCCCAGTGGCTAAGGAACACTAAAAGGTACAGTCAGGCAAAGCTCCTCACTGAGCCAGCAGATCCTTTTGTTGTCTTGGCTGCTGTGTTTTTCAGTTGATCTTTACCACTGGGCACGAGAATACTAAGAAGCATTTCGCAGAACCCATGGGATGCACAGAGAGTAATCCTTGACTCTCCACTCTGGCAATTGCCCAAGCATCCCTTGATAATCAGATTCCAATCACATCATGCAGTAGAGTGATCCCTTTCTTATGCCTTTGGTTCCGTGGCCTAAGGATCACAGAACAGCCAGGTTTCGTGGCTCTCAATGTAGTCACCATTTCTTACAGAGATGTTTATAGCCCGTCTCTGTTCTTCAAAGTTCATCCATAAAACTCTTCCCTGGATGCTCTCGCCACCAATCTTTTGCCTTCCTGGCCATGCATGGAGCTTTTTAGTGATGGTCCATGAATTAATCTAAATATCTACTCCAGGCCCTTCACCCAGAAAGAAGCAGACAGACAAAGTATTGCTCCAAGTGTTAACAATGGGAGGGTCTCCCTTCTTGGCGCTCATTCGTGATCACTCCCAGATGGGTTTATGAAACTCTATGAGCCTATCATGTGATGACAGGTCCACCTGTTAATTAGGCTTGAGTTTTTCTTCTTCAGTCAGCTAGCCATAATGTCCCACAAGGACATAGGATACATTTAGTCTAAAAGAGTTCCTCAGCCTTTCCCAGCTTTGTGTGTGTGTGTGACACTATCACAAAATATGAAGTTCACACCCTGTAGAGTAACTAGCTGTGACTCCGGCTCTTATGTTGTTATAGTCAGACTCAGGTCATGTTTATACAGCAGAAATGCCACCAAGAGGAGCTGTAATCGCTTCAGGGATTCAAAGTTGGCAAAGCTGTTCAATTGGCCACTATTAATAACAATGACCTTGAGCTGAGCATGG